GAGCGCCGCCTCGTCTGAGTCGCGACATCGTCGCTCGCCCTCGCTGCCGACGAGCGTCAGCTACAACGCGATACCGTGCGGGTCGCCTGTGCCGTCTCCGAACAAAGCGACCTTCAACGCTACCTCGACGCCCCCGGGCCGCAAACGAGCCAGTGGCGGGCCGATGCCCGCGCTATACCAATGCCGTGTCATCCACCCGTGCGAGCCACCGTCAGGCGTGTCGTACCGCGACCTGCCATTCTTCAGGCTCCAGGTGGACGACGTGTTCGATATCCTCAAGGAAGCGGGCCACCCGTCGACGCACCGCGACCTGCCGCTGTACGTCGACGATGGCGAGGACTGCTTGCTGCTCGCGCGAGACGACGCGGGCAACGTCGGTTGGGTCCTCGCCAGCTTCTTGTTGCCCGTGGACTAGCGTGCTCTGCTTGGGGTGGCTTTGCGCCTTCTTGTCTGCACACACTGGAAATTCTACCGTTCTCAAACATGTAATGATGCTCTCATGTGCTGCATGCTTGTTTTGCGTACTGACATTCGTGGAGGCTCCCGTGTCTTGCATTTTGTTCGAGGTGTACGTTGAGCCTGCGATGGATCATCGTCTCGTGCTGTGATCGTCTGTACTGACACTATATCCCGCCCAATTGGTTACCCCACAACTACTGTTCTTTACTCGGTCTCATCCACATGTAGGTAGATGCTCCATGAGATGACATGCAATAACACATGATTCCCTACCTTTGTGAAGGTCTTAGGCCTAGGTCTCCACGCCATCGCCGCGCGGTCATTGCAGTCGCTTTATGTTACATTTCCAAGCATACCAGCAACGTACAAAAGAATATGGCCGGAGACGCTGGCGGCGAGTCGATCTATGGCGACGGGGGCTCGTTCACGAGCAGCTCGATCGGACGTCCGTCCCTGTCCAGCGGCCAGAAGTTGTTCTTGAAGAGGCAGTGCGGGTCGTACTTGCGCTTCAGCGCCGCCAGGCGGTCCCAGTTCTTGCCAAAGCACGCCATCGTGCGCGACGGCGGCTCGTGCCGCCCGAGAAACTGCGTGTCGCACCCACGAAACGCAACGCCGTCAGCGAGCCTGCACTCACTTACGCAACGGAAACGCGAGCGCAGCGTAGGAGTGGGGGGAGGGGGGGGGGGGAAGGGGGAGGATACGGACTGTGTAGAGGAGCGGCGACTCACCGTCGGGTATGGTCCGCCCATGGCGACTTGCCTGATCGTCCCTCCCATCCACTGGTGATCGAACGGAGACACGACTACGGTCAGCGCTCCACGACACGCGGGCAGGATGGCATCGTGCGCAGAAGCTCACCTGCTCAGCCGTGGTAATGCAGCGCGGGTCGTCGATGCCCATGTCCCACTGGTGGAGCGCGGCGACGGTCCAGGTCGCCTCGCGCTGCTCCTTGGGCAGGCAGTTGTCCTCAAAGTCGCCGATCGCGCCGCCGGCGAGCTCGAATAGCCACGCTTATAGCGAAGAAAATGAGAGAAGGAGGAGAAGGGGAGGTGGGTAGGAGAGGTGAGTTGACCGGGGCCGCCGAGGGGAGCGGCGGACTCACTGCATCCGATAGGCGTGTCCGCGAATTCCATGACGGTCTTGTTGATGACTTCGTCCGGAAGAGTCGTGATCAGAGCCGAGCGGAGGAACCACTGTCTGCCCGCTACGCAAGGCGGTCGCCAAACGGCGTCAGTCCTGCCCCATCCGACGAACAAACCACGCGGGCGCGCAGAAAGACAAGGAGGACCCAAAAAACAAGACGACGCACCCTTCCCGCGCAGGACCTGCGCGACGCTGTCCTGCTGGTTGAGGAAGCTCTTCTCGTTCACCTCGTTCAGCAGGCAGCGCTCCCCGTCCCAGCTGGAGATCGCCTGGAGGTACTCGACGCCCTTCTCTTTGGGGCCGACGTAGCACATCTGTATGACGACGAGCGAGTCCTTGTCCGCCGGCCCCGCCGTGAGGAGCACGTTCGCGTACAGCTCGCGCGGCGCGTTCTTGATGCAGTCGCGGAAGTGCTTGATCAGCGACGGCGCGGTCGCGCGGTGGAAGCGGCTGCGGGTATTTGAGGGGACGAGTGGGGGGCCCATGAGCAGAGTCAGATATGGGGACGCCGGAAGGACTGACTAGATGAGGTTTCCTGCAAAGACCACGGGCACTGGGAACGCCCGCGCCTTGTATCGCGTCGCGACTCCAAAGGCGGGCCCGGCACCGCGAATGGCCCACCAAAGCTCTGCAGCATATCGTGCACATCAGCTATCGCGTGTCGCTTTGACAACTCGGGTGCGTGTAGTGCCTGGCATGCGAGGACTCACCTGGGTCCTCTTCGGCGTTCACCACCACGATCCGTCCGTCAGCGAGCACCATCTCGACCTCGACGAGGTTATCGATACTCAGCCCGTACAACCTGCTGATGAACCCGAAGCCGCCCAGGAGCATGATCGAGGACCCGACGGGATGTGCGGACCTACGGACTGGCACTCAGCATGCAGAGCCCCTCTTGTTCCCATGGCAGCAGCGTACGAACACTCACATGGGGACATGATACGGCACGGCCGCATCTTCCTTCTCGCCCGTGACGGTGTTCGTGCCCTCGAGGGGGTGGTCCGCCGTGTACGAGTCGATCTCCTTCTGCCGCAGCCCCGCGCCAAACGTCACGTACGCGTGCGGATGCACGGGCTTCGAGTGCTGCATCGTGCCCAAGGGCCCCGTCCTCGCGTCCGATACGCCTCCGAAGAACGGCGGGATCCCGAACGAGCCCGCCGGAGGAGGGTACGGCTGCGGCTGACCGAGCCCCGGCATCATCGAGAGCGGCATCGAGGGCGAGGAGACACCAGCGGGCATCCCGGTGCCGAAGGCTGTGGAGGGGCTCCACGTAGAGGCCCCAATGGAAGGCCATGGAGTCGGCGGGGGCCAGTGCCCGCTCTGCAACGGGGAGATACCAGCACCTAGAGCAGGAGCGGCGGAGGGGCCCTCTGATCCGGATGGGAACGCGCCGCCGCTGTACATGGGCAGACGAGCCGGCGTCGCTGTGCCCGGAGTCATGTACGCGAACGGCTCGCGCGTCTCCAGATCTGTCGCGTCGCTTGCCTTTTCGAGCCCCTCGCCAGACGGAGGGGCGGTGGTAGCGACCGAGGACTGGGACTGCCGCGAGTTGAACCCGGACGTGGATGGCTGCGAGCTCTCGTCCGACGCGTTCGACTCACCGGAGAGCTGGCGTGAGCCCTCGCTGAGCGGCGGCATCTCGAGCGCGCCCGGTTCTGTCGAGGACTGGACGACCGCAGGCTCGGGCAGCGCTCCGGGCCATGCTGCGTCGGCGGGGTCGGGCGAGTGTAGGCGAGGACGGTTTAGAGGCGGCTGCCTGGCGGGTTCACCAGGATCGGGCGGGAGTGGGGGCCCGCGGAGGAAGGCAGCTACTGCGTGCGACGCAGCGTCGTACGGTCCTTGGGCGACGAAGGAGCCCGCAGACTCAGGGCCCTCGGAGGCGGGCGGTGAACGGTCGTCGCGACGGCGCTTTTCCCCACGAGGTGAAATGAGCGGCTCGGTGGATTGGGCGGAGTGTGGAGGAGGCTGCTGATGAGGGAGGGATGGGTTCGCTTTGGCTTTGCCCTTGCTGCCCAAAGGGGGCATCTCCTTCAACGGCGTCCAGTCCACGTGCGCCACGTCGTCTCCCTCGGGTGCAGCTTTGGGAGGCTCGATGTCGATATCGGTGAGCATGCTGAGGTCGATGACCACGTCGCCCGCGACCGCCCAGCCGGCGATGCCGTAGCCTCCCGCTCGGACGGAGGGCGACAATCCGTACTTGGCGCAGAACTTGACGGTGGCGCTGACATCGTGCGCATCGACAGGCACAACGACTCCGCGGCACAGCGGCTTGAGTTTCCCATTGAACGTCTTCGTGTGCTGAAAGTATCTGGAAAGCGTGTCAGAAAGCGCATCGACAGCGGTCTGCACGGAAGCTTTACTCGGGGTCGGGGGGACGCAGGACACGTCCTTTCACGGCCGTGGCGAGTTCGCGGAAGAGCTCGTCTGAGAAAGACGGGAGGGGCTTTAAAGCGAGGTGAGGACGGTCAGGACGAGGTGGCTCCATATCTCCAAGGTAATACGCAGGAGCGATTTGGTCTCTTGTATGGTAAGCAGACGCGGAGCGAGTGCGAGCAGGTTGTTGTCAGTCACCATATCCGATGCCCAAGGCTCGGCCATGTTCAACTCACCACGCGTTCACGCAGCTACTGTACACGCGAGGCACAGAAATCGAAGAGGGTCGCGGCGCGGCTGCAGACGTTCTTCAGCTAGGCGTGTGTATTGTTCTGCCAGGAAGACAAGTTGTTAAAAGGAGGTCAGCGGGGGCGGTGCGGAGGCGTGGTGGACCGGTCGATGGAGACAGGAGCCGTCATAGGGCGGCAGGGCTGCCGTAAAGCGCGTCCCTCGAAAGAAGAAAGCGTCTTCCGCGAAGGATGGATGAATACGGAATTGCACCGAGCGGTGGGAAGCTGCGGCCAGCGTCTGCACCAGAAGATGCAGAGGTGAGTTCAAACTGACAACCACCGCGGCGAGCTGCCCGCCCCTCCCATCTTGCCGTCACCGCAAGGCCACCGTATGTCATCCAGACGCCTCGGCACCGACACCCGCACGCCGCTTCATGCTGCGTTTGGATGGACTTGGGTCAGTGGATCCCACAACAGTGCGACGGAACCGGCAGGAGCTTTGTCCTTACTCAGTCGACCCACACGAGGTGTTGAGCTTGAGGCTCGACTGGGCAACGCTTCCAAAGTTCCATACCTCGTCATGGCGCATCCAAGCGTACAGAAGCATGTCAAGTCTGATAAATGAGATGTGTTCTCTCGCACCATGTCATCAATGGTGGAGCGTAGGAGTACTACTACCCTACTACTACCAAGTGGGAAAGACCAACCCAGACTTCGACGAAGCCGTTGGACGTTGGAACCAGAAGTGCGAGCATAACTACAGACGAGATTATGTTACCCCTAACAATTACCCAAGGGCACATGGTGTAGTTGGTTATCACATCCGCTTAGCACTTGGTGGCATCGCACCGGTGAATGCGGGGGGTGCTGGGTTCAATTCCCAGTGTGTCCACAGTTTTTGGTCTTTCATCCCTACATGGACAATTATCAAGGCTGGTCATCATGATCACCGCCAGCGCATCGAAGTCAACGCTCAAGAGCGCGCGACTAAAGAGACTCTTACAAGATTACAGAGGAGCCATTCGCACAGAGGGCTCCCACTGCCTTGGATGCTGTTCTCCAAGCAAGAGCGAGAATCAAGTCCGCACGAAGAGGTTCGCGGACGCAGATTGCGGCAAAAAATGAAGAATTTCCTGCACCTTTGAACAGTGCACGTTCTGATGATGCTTATTCGGCGAAGTGTGCGCCCAATGAAGCTTGCTCGAAAGCGCAACGTGATGTGCCGTCGATGGGTGACTCAATTTCAGCCCGTCGTACGTCTTTCGTAGATTGCTTTCGGCCCTAAGCCATCGTATGCGTACATACGAGGACATGTGTCTTCGCTGATTCAGTTGTGTTGAAATGATCCTCCACATTGGTAGGTGATAGACGAGATGAGCAGCGCTCTAGTCTCTGTCGATGCAGTGATTGACTCTGGGGCGCATGATCGCCCACAGTTCAACTTGCAGCCTTTCCTGCAGCATCTGGGAGCCCGCCCCTACGAATCTGAGGAGTTGTCCCGAAACATCTCAATGAATCGAAAAAGACCGAATATATTTCAAATAAGCCTAGCAGATCAGCCACATCTACCTGACCGAACCCCTCACGCCAGCTCCTCCACCGCGCTCGAGAACGTCATCGTCGCGTTCAGCGCGCGCTCGTACCGCCGCCGCGCCTCGTGCAGCGTCGCGGAGATCGCGCCGAGCGCGAGGAGCGTGCACAGGTCAAAGAGGCTCAGCGCCTCCGTCTGGAACACGCTCTGCAAGACGGGGACGTAGATGAGCGCGAGCTGGACGAGGAACGACGTCGACACGGTCGTGACGAGCATCCGGTTCTGCGTCACGCCGCAGCCGAGCCCGCGGTTCTGCACGGCAGACACGAGGTCGAGGAACACGAAGCAGGTGAACGTCTGCGCGGCGTCACGTCAGCGTGTCTGGCAGCCTTGCTCACCAGAAGCTGGAGGGGACGCGAGGCGTACCATGGTCTGCTCCCGTCGTGTCATGTCCTGGTCGTCGGAGAGGGCGTAGAGGTAGACGAAGAGCGTGCCGACGACGATGATCGACGCGGAGAAGAGGACTCGGTAGACGAGGCGCCTGCTTATGATCGGCGCGTCTTTCTTCCTTGGCGGTCTGCGCATGACCTGCGGGTCTACAGGATCGACGCCGAGCGACTGGCTGGGAGGCCCTGGAAGGAAGCATCCTCTCCGTTAGCGGATGAGCGCGTCATGCATGTCTGTACTGACCATCCATGAGGATGTTGATGAAGAGGATCTGCATCGCGTTCAACGGGTTGCTCAGCCCGAAGAAGGTGCTCAGGGTGATCAGCGTCAGCGCCGCGCACGCCGTGCTGAGCTGGAAGGACAGGAAGTTTTGGATGTTATGGAAGATGGATTTGCCTGTGTGCAATTATGAGACTGCCATGACGATCATTCGGAAACAGTGGCTCTATACCTTCTTCGATGGCAGGCAAGATGGTCGTAAAGTTGTCGTCGACGAGGATGACGTCGGCCGCCTCTTTCGCGACGTCCGTGCCGCTCTTACCCATCGAGACCCCGATGTCCGCCATTTTCAGCGCAGGCGCATCGTTCACTGCAACACCACCGTCCGTCAACACATCTTGAATGATCACTCTGTGACGCGAGACAGACCTCCGTCACCGGTCATAGCGACTACCGCGCCTCTCGACTGGAACGCCTCCACGATCGCCATCTTATGCTTCGGGGTGGTCCGCGCGAAGACACTCACTGCCCCGATCGCCTCCCGCAACTGCTGCTTGCTCATCCTGTCTATCGCCTGGCCCGTCAAGCACCCACTATTGTTCCCCGTGCTCACCCGTAGCCCCAGCGCACGCGCGATCGACAGCGCCGTCTCCTCCGCATCTCCCGTGATCATGACCACCTGCACCCCTCCGGACTGGAGCAGGCCGATCGCGTCCGCCACGCCCTTGCGCGGGGGGTCAAGCATCGCTTGGAACCCGACGAACACCAGGTTCGTCTTCTCCCTCTCAAGCCCAACGCCGGAACTGGGAGTGCCCGCACGGCTCACGGCGACGGACGCGGGTGCGGAGGGTGCGGGGGTGCCCTCGACGGGGCCGTAGCCGTACGCGAGCGCGATGACGCGCAGTCCGCGCGACGCCGTGGCCTGCGCCTTTGTCAGGATGACGCTGCGCGTGTTCGCGTCGAGGGCGGGCGTGGAGTCGTCCGAGACGTAGTAGAACTTGCACCGGTCGAGGATGGCGTCGATCGAGCCTTTGATGTAGTACATCTCCCGCTGGGCGCCGTTCACGAGGCCGGTTGACGGGGGACCGTGTACGCCACTGACGGCCATGTACTTGCGTTCAGAGTTGAACGGGAGCTCCGAGTGCCGTGTAAATTCCTGGACGTTGTTAGGTCGACACGAAAGAGACTCGGGACGAGTGCCCTACCTGTCGCTGGTCGGTCATGCCGAAGAGTGCCAGAACGTTGAGTAGAGCGACGTCTGTCGACTGACCGACGTACATCCCATCCTCGTTCTTCATGGCGTTATTACAAAGCGAGCCGATAGAAAGCGTCTTGCGCAGGGAGGGGTTGAGACGGACATTGGGTGCGGCGGGCAAGGAGGCGTCGAGCGTAATGGTCTCGTCTACGGAATATAGTTCCGTCACGGTCTGTTCGTTCTTCGTGAGCGTCCCTGGTGCGGCTCGTGTAAGCTTCTCTGCACCCCTGCTCTTCAAGCAGCGCTATACACACCGGTCTTGTCTGAACAGATGACCGAAACCGAGCCCAGCGCCTCGACAGAGTGCAACTTCTTTACGATCGCTTTGCGCTTGGACATCCTCAGGACCCCGAGTGCGAGCGTCACGGTGGTGACGATCGGCAGCCCCTCCGGGATTGCCGCGACAGCCAGCGACACTGTGCTTCACCAACATGCAGCGGTCAGCCGTGCGTGTCCTCGGATTTCGTTGATGCTGGTAGCAGCGCGGACGTACCTCCGATGGTGAACATGTCGAGCCAGGAGCGTTTCTGTATGACGCCAATGACGCAGATGACGCCGATGATTCCAAAGGAAATGATGGACAGCTTCTTAGCAAGCTCGTCCATGCTCAACTGCAGAGGCGTGCGCTTCTCTTCAACCTGAGGACTTGTTTGAGCGTGCCCGTGTCTAGATGTCTGCGGAAAGACGCACCTCCTGCATCATGGAGAAGATCATACCGAACTCAGTTTGTGTTCCGGTGGCGATGACCACCCCGGCGCCACGTCCTGAGGGAGAGTGGTCAAGTCCAAGCCGTTACGAGCTGGATGCGACCCCTACCGTTTCGAACCAGGGTGCCCATATAGGCGATACACGACCTCTCTGCTAGGGCTGCGTGCTCTCCGAACGGCGCATCTCCGTTCCCGGTGCCGTTCGCATGGCCATTGGCAACGTTCGAGAATATACACGGCTCGGTATCCTTGCGTCGGGTGTTGGTCTCGCCCGTCAAGCTGCTCTCATCTATCTCTAGGTCCACGGCAGAAATGAGTCGCACGTCTGCAGGTATTCGGTCGCCCGTCGTGAAGGTGACGATGTCCCCCGGGACGAGTTCATTGGCGAGCATATGTAATGGCTTTCCGTCGCTGCGAGGGTGAAACATCAGAGCTTGGGCGCAGTAGTACTAGTGCTTTACCGGCATACCGTATCAGGTGACAGTGATGGGGAACTAGTTTGTTCAGGGCCTCCAGGCTCTTTTCTGACCGTTGCTCCTGTACGAAGCCAACTGCGTGCAGTCAGTGGATATTGTCCTCGCATATGAGACAGAGTGTATATGACACGAGTCGAACACGAATGTCTCTGGTACCCGGAGATTGATACTGGGAACCCGTAGTGCACGAGATGCGAAGATGGTGGAAGCTCACTTACCGGTCAACACGATGAGCACCGCGACGGTGATGCTTACTGAATCGTCGATGTTCCCCATGATCGCGCTGACGAGAGCGCTTCCACAGAGTAACAGAATGAGCGGGTTCTCATATATTGTTTTCGCAAACTTGACCAAGAGAGGCTCCGGCGTCGAGACCGTGAACTCGTTGTAGCCATGAGTCGCGAGCAGCTCTTGCACGCGTCGCGAGGATAGGCCTTGAGAGGCGGAAGTACCGAAGTACGCCAGTGTATCCTACACGGTGTGAGGGTACACAGAACGTGAGATATGGATATACATACCTGGACTGAGCAGTGCGCGAACCGGGCGGATGCGCTTTCCCTCTGGCTCGTACCTTGCTCTGCATGTGTGGGTAGCTGCTCATACTGACCACGCTGATTGAAGAGAGCAATGATTCTGCCTATCGTCCGCTCCCAAATGCCCCTCGCACCCTCCGCCTGGGCGACTGTCCGAAGCTCATCCAAAGAGGGTATGTTGACAGCGGAGGCTGAATGGGGAAGGCCGAGAGGTCCCTCCAAAGTGTGTCTTCTAAGCATTGTGCTGTATGCGAAGTGCGCATGCGCGTCCGGGACGGTCGGCTGAGGCTCTTCATGGTGGTCCCCAGAGAAATGGGAGAAATAGGCCGAGGCAGGCGGGGACTCGCTGCGATAGCTGGCGAAGGTGGCAGAACGCGGGTTCGCAGCGTACCTTGCACGCGCCGAGGATGTAGACGCGGTGGGATAGTCTGGAAGAGGAGAGGGAGACCTCTTGCGCTCGAAAGCCATGGCTGCGCAAGACGTCGAGGTGGCAAGGAGTTGTCGGAGCGCAGTCCGCCCGACAGTCGACCGCTGCGCGTCAGCGTCCGCTCAGAGTGACTGGAGGTATGTTTGTCGGATGCTGTATTCTAGTCTACTGCTTTGAGCAAGATGTCTTCAATGCCAGGTCAATACCGCAAGATGAAGAGCCCATTCGGGGCTAAGGCGGAGATGGAGGAGGTATCGGTTAGAGTAACAAGCTGCGCTCGACCTGGTGCCCGCCCAC